ATATATATATATATATATTCATTTTAAATAACAATTCACTATTTCATTTCTTTGAGTGATAGGTGAACACAACTGTTAAAATAACATTTCTATCCAGCAATGAGTAGATTCTATGTTTAGTCTGCAATTAGCATTGTTACCCATCTTGTTAGAAAGCTTTTCTCAGTTAGAAAATTTGTTAGATTTGTTCTCACGGAACAATAACTGGTGTAAAGTTTATTAAAAATAATGGTTCATGTAGCTGCATTCCCCAATGAGAGGAATTGGACAAAACCATGGGTTAGATGGGGACTGTGGGAGTTGAAGTGTAAAATGTCAGCCATGTTCATAGGACATGTTGGGTCTGGCCCAGATAATGAGTAACAGTCTTACCTGGAATTGGTCAACAATCAAGACAGAACTATTGGCTGACTTAGTTATATCAGAAAGAATCCCATACCTCTTTGTGTAGTTGATAGGCTTGTGCTCCCTGTTTTAAGATTTCACAAAAATTGAGGTTACTGACAAACTCATACTTCCTATTTTGTTTCACAAAAAGCCCCTGACCAAGTAAATTGTGTAAAAGTGGGGAGTTGGGGTGGGAAGCCTTAAGTTTCACATCCCCCCAATCTACCTGAAAGGAAGTGAAATAATTAAGAAATACACAGCTACTCTAGTTTCTCCCCTATGTATCCTAGGACTGGAATTCAAGTTTGCTTTCTTTCAGAATCTCAAATAATGCAAAGGTCCTTGGTTTAGGTGAAGGCGTAACCCACTCGTCAACTCTAGGTACACAAGAGGCACAATGAGGATGAACCTGACTCAGAAATGGCCTGGCGGGACCTAATGGGTATTTCATTGGCTTTGGAATTGGATGACTTGCCGCGGCGAACTCGCATGGCCAACTCACCGTGGGGCAATTCAATGCAGGATAATTCAAGAGAGGGAGAAAAGGGACAAGTTTCTCCATGCTCTGGTTGACCCCAGCCTTGAAGAGTTCTAACTTGAGAAGATTCAAACCTGAAGCAATTTACTTGCCCCTCTCTAGAGTTATCCTTGGAGTTGTCCCTTGGGGAGTTGGCTATAGCAAGACAGATGGAATGAGTTGGCCAGACCGCATTGGCTTGGCTAATGGTCTCCTTGAACCATGGCCATTTTCGAGGGGATCTGGGTGGGGAGGCTTGCCCCAAGGATTTGGTTCCTCTGAAGTTTTTTCCTGATCCATTTCTGTTAGCTGGCAGGGCTAATCCGCACTGAGTGCGTATTATTTTGATGCAGACCTAAGAGCACATGGTTATCTTTTCAGTCTCCATCCCAATTCTTGACTAGGTGATTTATTGTGATGTCACTCCATTTCTCATTCAGATTTCTCATTACTGCTACCAGCTCTGAAGGGGAGGTCACATGATCAACTTTCTGCTTCTTTCATTCTGTTATACTGAGTCACTGAAGGTACAGGGCCCCTGCCTGTCATGATGTGTGTGTGTGTGTATATAGGGTTGCTTTTCCTTCATTTGATTTGTATGTGTGTATGTATGTGGGGGGTGTTATCTGAGTATTTCTCTAAATATACACTTGCTATGGTCAGTTTGCTTCCTTTCCTCCCCAGCTGCTTCTAACTTTCATAACCCTAAAGTGCATGAGCATTTTTAATTACTAAATTGGTACTTATAACTTGTTTTTAATACTTTACTTTGTGGATTTCTGGAAATAAAGCCTTTTAATTCAGCTTTAGCCTTTTTTATGTTTCCTGAAAAAATGGATATTGAGTTTTATTTTGGATTAACTTAGAAGCAAAGTGCATTCTGCAATAACCATGTTTATTCTGTATTTTTTAATGTGATAATAAAGCGAAGAGGTGAGCAAAACGTGTAAAATCTGCAGCTCTCAGAGCCACTGCAGTTTGGCATCTTTCAGGGAAATTCCGTGGATGTGTCTTTGTCCAAGCTATTCTCATACTTAGTTCATTAATTAAGATGCCCTTTAAAAAAAAACTGGACAGTGACCCAGAAAAATGGTGCATTCTGATGAGGGAAACTTTAGGACAAACATAACTTGGAAGAAAACTTTTTTATTCTCAAAGGACAGTAAAAAAAAAATACAGTTCAAAAAATCCCTTCAAAATAATTGGATCCTTGATAGAGGAAACGATCAGTTCACATAAGTCCATAGATCAGTATTTTTTATTCTGCATTATACATATACAGTACAATATATTTTATGAGCAGTTAATGTGAAGAAGTGAATTTTATAACATAGAAAGCTAGTTTCTTGCTTCCCAAACCAGTGCCTCAATATAGCTACTTACAGCTGGAATTTTAACCTCCTGCTTAATTAAACTGGTTAAAAGTATTTGCAAGAGGCAAAGCACAATGTTCTGCAAACAGGTGATTAATTACTGTATATTATGTGACATATCTAAAACTAAGCATGAGTCAAAACCAAGACTTGATTTGGAATAAAAATATATAAAATGGGGCTGTCAGTTTCCAGATTGCTAGAAGAATCTTGTGGAATTTGAAAGCTTGTATTTTTATTGGTCAAGGCAAGGCAAATGGAAGCAAATTATTATTATCTATTCACAATAACGTGAAGTCACAGCTGCCAATTCTTTAGCTGGTGTTGGCCCTTATATGCATTGAGTTCTTCCCAAGAATCTAGGATGTCAAAATGCATCAGTGAAATATATTTGTGCGGATCCAAGTAGGGTGGCCTTTTGCAATTGACAATTATTAACTGACTTCAATACAAGCTTAAAAGTTCAGAGAACACTACTGAACTGCACTTTAATTAGAAGATGCAGATCACATGTGCAAAATAATAAAATAAAGCAATGATATAATTAAACATTTAACCTAATTTTAAAAAACCCTGCAGAACATAGTTTCTTTAGGATAACATTTTTATTATGGCACTTTTAAACCTAGGGCACATCCATTTCCTAGAGAAAAAGCAAGACATTTTTTCTGTTTTGTTAATCTCCTTTTTTGATATCAAATTCTTCGTACCAATCTGGTTGTCAGGATCAGAGGAGATTTGAAATAACTGACTATTTTCTACAGAGTATGCTTTGGATGCTACCTCTTTCATTTGGGATGATATAGCCATGTATTTTAAAATACATATTTGTTCATTTTGAGTATGATTATTTATGAATTTTTTTCTTTGCTTCTTCACTAAAAGTTTCTAAAGCAAAAGCTTAATTCTCTGAAAGCTTAGTTCTCTGCCATAGGAGATCCCATATAGTAATGTAAAGAAGTATTTGAACACTTTGGAACATAGCGTGGACTTCGTTTGTCATTTATTTTGGCCATTGTGATAGGATACAGAAGTTCAAACATGCTAGAGATTTGGGGTTACTGTTTGCTAGCAACCAGTAAAACCCACAAGAACAAAAGACAGAAAGTTACAAAACAGCTGCTGCTGTTTTTAAAATAAAATTATTGTCAAGTAAAATTTTGCAAATAATTCAATTGAAATAATATGGTAGCATCTATAACTCCCAACGATCTCCCAGGATTTTTTTGGATGTTCAAAGGGACAAGTGATGTCATGTGTTATGAGAACATTTACATAATTTGCATGATGACCTTATGACCCATGTGACATCGTTCTATGGCTTGTGCCACGCATAACAATGCAAAGGACCGTCAGGTATTTTTTTTAACTGGGATCTGAATTCAGGGCTTGTTGCTTTTCTTCCACTTCTTTACATTGATTATTTCAGGCCCTTTTATCATTGATGATTTTGTTTTAGAGGATGGGGAAAAAAAAACCCAAACATTTCAGGTTGGACAAGTTCACATTCAGACTGAAATTCCCAAAATGTGCCTCTCGTCCTAATCTCCCAGAAGTGGTGGTACTAACAAGTTTTTGAAGTATTAAAAGAAAACGGGACAAGTATCATTCTCTTAGACATGGGTTGGAACATGGGACATCTTTGCTAATGAAACTGTTTTTGTTTTCTTCTCTTGTTCTCTTTCTCTCTTGTTAACAGGCTGAAACGGCAGCCAATCGCATCTGCAAGGTGCTGGCTGTGAATCAAGAGAATGAGCAGCTAATGGAAGACTATGAGAAGTTGGCCAGTGATGTAGGTAGCCTTGCTTTCAATTTCTTTGGTGTAGCCAGGGGAGTTCTTTGGAATAGTTCAATTTAGTGGAGTGCAGCAGCAAATGTGCGAGGAGGGAAGAAACAGAGCAGCACTGTTGTTTACAGCATGCTATTTTTATTATTCAGTAGGTTTATATGACCTTCCATGTCAATCGTGGGCAGCTAACAATATTAAAAAGCGCAACGCGTACAGAATAAACACAAAACCTATGGAAAACACCAGGAAAATTATTTTAAAAAACACCTGTCCAACATTCAACATAACCAGAAGATGGGGTTTGCATCCCCAAGGTCCCAGGCTTCAGAACTGAGCCAAGACTTCAAATCCTTACAGCAGGCCAACAGCAGGAGCAGGACTAATCTAATCTCCAAAGGGATGATATTTCAGAGTGTAGACCCTATGAAAGAAAAAGCTCTCTTCTGAGCCTTATCAGCCCACACACGATTGGGATCTGAAGCATGTCTCTCTTTATGGTCCAGATGGGACAGGTAAAGACATCTGGAGAGCCCAGGAAAGACAGTATGGAATATAACTGTGATGGCGAACCTATGGCATGCATGCCACAGTTGGCATGTGGAGCCATATCTGCCGGCACGCAAGTGCATACACATGCCAGCCAGCTGATTTTCGGCCTTCCAGAGGGCTGGGAGAGGCTGTTTTCACCCTCCCCAGGCTCCAGGAAAGCCTACGGAGCATGGAAGGGCAAAAAACGGGACCAACGAGCATACCAGAAGTTCGGAAGTTTGGGGTTGTGCGCGCATGGACATGGGGGGGGGGCACTTTGCATTATGGGTGCACGTGCACACTCGCATTTTTGGCACACAACAATAAAAAGGTTAGCCATCACTGGAATATAACAATCAAAATCTTTGTGAACAATTGCAAAGAGGGGTATGCTGCTCCATGGCTCTTCGGTTCCTGCAACCGTGGTTTAATGGAATATTTACATTAAAATAGCATTGTATCCAAATAGATTTTTAATCTATAATGAGTACTAATATCAGAAGTTCATACTACTAAAATATCTGAGTTCTGTAGTGATTTAAAAACAGTGCGTACAGAACCAAGGTTAAGTAGCCAGATAATAATAGATAAATATAATAATAGATCATGCAATCTGTAATATAAACAGATGCACAACATGACCCAGAGTCAGCTTTGTGAGGTAAAGTAGACAGGAAACATGGACAGATGAGCTAATTTTACTTTATTGTGAGTTTACATTAACAGAATCTTGAAGTCTGAAAGTATTCTGTGTATCTCCCCCCCCCCCTTCATCTTCTTTACAGTCCAAGAAACTAGGGAGGGTCTTTTCTGAACCTCTGGCCTTGCATACATTCCTGCTTCAGGCTGCCTTTTATCTGACCATTCCCTTGGCTCCATCTCCTTGTCTCCCAAGGTCATTCTCACATACCATTACACTCAGGGAGAATCTGAATGTTTCAGCAATTATCTTTAATCAAGACAGTTCCACAAGACATGAAGACCTGCTGTCTCTCCCCTCAGGCTGTAAATACACCAGTCCTCTCTCTTTAGATAGGTTTCTACCTAATACTAAGCCTGCCTCCCAAAACCAGTGGCAGGGATGAATGAACAAATTTGTCATGCAGCTGTAAAGACAAAAGGGGAAAAGGCTCCCTCAAGCTGAATTGAATGTCTTTCTGTGTGATTTGCCTGGCAGTAATAATGAAGAGATTTGTTGTGGCCTTCTTCCAGAATATTTTAAGACTTCCCTATCTAGCCAGAGTCGTGACATTGTCATGCCTGCAAGCCATCTTTTCTTTTTGGACTTTTTGGATGCTATTTGGAACCCTGACAGACATTTCCACGTAACCTTCCATCCAAATGTTAGTTAAGTTCACGCTATTTAATTTAGGGGAAACAGCCAAGCTTGGCTGTGGGCTGCTACCTACTATGGAAGTAAATGCAAAACTTCCCAACAGAAATCAAAGTCTTGGCCAAATTTAATACTAGCTATGATTTTAGTTTCCAGAAATTTTGACTTTTCCCTTCTTGGTATTTCCAGCTGTTGGAATGGATCCGGCGCACCATACCATGGTTGGAGAATCGGGCACCTGAGAACACCATGCAAGCCATGCAGCAGAAACTGGAAGATTTCCGAGATTACCGCCGCCTTCACAAGCCTCCCAAAGTCCAAGAGAAATGCCAGCTGGAAATCAACTTCAACACATTGCAAACTAAGCTGAGGCTTAGCAACAGGCCAGCCTTCATGCCTTCGGAAGGGAAAATGGTTTCGGTGAGTGTGTTAGATTAATGCGTTCATACACAATGACTTGGCAAGATGGGTTTCCTACTGTTACTGTTGCTTTCATGGGCCAGTGGAACTCGGTTTCCTAGAACTGAACATATATTGGTTGCCATGGGCTTTACTACAACTTGTAGTAGCCACAGATTATAAATTGCCAAATGATACCTCTCTATTCTAGCAGGTTGTCCCTTCTGGAAAACAGACACCGCACATGAGATTTTTTGTTTTAACCTCAGATAACTGAATAATAAATTCATATAGTTTTTAAACAGGTTTGTTAGATTTAAATCCATCTTCCTTTCATGAGCTTAAAATAATATTTTTGGTGCCCTTTCCTCCAGTTCCCCCCTCTCCCCCTCAGCTTGTCCTGAACTATCTTGAGGAGGAGAATGAGAATGGTCAATAGGGGACTTGAATCCAGATCTCTTAGTCCAATACCAGATTATACCATGGTGGCTGTTTTAGAACAGAAATCTTATAGTACCAAAGATTTACATATTAGAGAAGGCAGACAGCATCTTCCTAGATCAGGGGCATCCCACCATGGCAACTTTAAAACTTATGGATTTCAACTCCCAGAATTCCCTAGCCAGCATCCACAACTTACAAAGTTGCCAAGATTGGTCACCCTTCCTTAGATGATGACAGGAAGTGACCTCTTCTTAAACAAATTTCCTTAATAATAAAGAGGAAAATCTAACAATTACTGGAAGGGATTATATTTCTTATTATCCACATCTTTGAGCAAATCTTTCACCGCCATATCAATCCCAGGAGGGAAATGAAAATACATCCCTCTGCAGGAGAACTTCAGGCCTTAGCAACTTAAAATGCTTGGTAGGGAACCTCCAAAGCTCTGGCCCAGTCCTTTCTGATTACAGAAGTTAACTGTCTTTAGCTCCCATCTTGTATTGTCTCAGATCCCCTTGCCAGGGCTTCATCATTTGTCTGCCGATCTATCAGCCAGTTTTTTCCCCACCCATTCATAGTGTGATTGTAGAAGCTCCTCAAACTTAATTCTCACTGTGTTGAGAAATGTTTCGATTATTTTGAATCCATCTGCCTTTTCTTGATAGTTATGCTTTTCCTCTGGTTATACTACAGGATATAAATAATGCCTGGTCTGGCCTGGAGCAGGCTGAGAAAGGATATGAAGAGTGGCTGTTGAATGACATCCGACGATTAGAACGACTGGATCATCTAGCAGAGAAGTTCCGGCAAAAAGCTTCCATTCATGAATCCTGGACAGAGGGTAACACAACATCTAAATGTGTTCTATTATTATTAGAGATTTTTGTAGTCTAGACAAGATAGAAACCGGATTATAAAAACCATCAAGTTAGTAGGAACAAAACTTTGAGACTGCTTTAACTTGCAGGATTGATGCATATGCATTAGAAGGATCGGATACAACTGTTTATATACATACAAGTAAACTGTAAAACAAATGTAAAAGTATATTGCTACATTGTAGATAATTCTGTAGAAGAACAGAAAAAAGCTTCCTACTAACAGAACTTTGAGGGTGCCTCCAGATCCCAGTTCTTAAACAACTGCCTCAGCCAAGCCAAAGAAGCCCATTATTTGAGTTGTGTATATCTGCTTCTCAGGACCTGCAGGACTAAAAATATTTTGATCTTGGTTGGTGTGGGAAGGGGGCAGCCCCAGCTTTGCTCTGCTAAGCTTTGCCAACTCTTCATGTGACATGGGCTCCCTTAATTGAGTCACCATCCTTGAGCCAAGTATTATTCTCAGCCTTCACTGGCTTATCATTGTTCTAGAGAGCCTGCAAAACACACATTCAGTCCACCACTAAAGGCAGGCAAGCACTTGGTTTGATCACATAGCTCCATCAAGAAATTCTCTTCCTCAAGATGCTATCATTTTTAAACATCAGGTGTGTCCCTCCCCCTGGAAGGCCATGTAATAATTAACTGGCCATGCTGCAACAAATTCAAGCCACCCTCATGATTACTTACCCACAAGAAGGGACAACTTGTGACTCTTTAGCCAGTTGTCCCATGGGGAGCATGGAAGAGCATGGGCCTCTCACTCCAGATGGCAGCTTCCATAGATTAGACAAGATTTCACTCCTACACCCCCAATGGATTTCCCTCCTCCTCTTCCAGAATTTAAGGATGTAAAAATCCAGAATCAGCCTTTTGAGGCAGGCTAATACTTCTTTCCTAGTATCTGTCTCTTCCCACTTATGACCATAATCATGTTGCTTGTATCTTTCAATTTATATTGTTTTATTTCTTTACTAGTACGGTTTGATAGCTTATTAGTAACCTTGACTATCACTAAGTTGTAACTTTTTATTCTTGATGAATGTATTTTGTTCTTCTTATGTGCACTGGGAGAATATGCATCAAAGACAAATTCCTTGTGTGTCCAATCATACTTGGCCAATAAAGAATTCTATTCTATTCTATTCTAAGCCAAGAAAGAGGAATTCCAGAAATGCTACTTTATTGTTACAGGATGTATTAACAGAGTCTTGAAACTTTGTCCAATATTCTCTCCATCTAGTCTTATATTAAACAAAATCAAGGCTGGAGTTCTTTTGAATTTCTTTCTCATGCTTCCCTATGTCTCTGTGTAATATCTTCTCCAAGTCCCTCTTCAACAGCTCATCCCTTCTTAATACAGTCTCATACTTTCCCCAACCCGAAATTCCTTTACACCCATTGAAGTTGAAGAGCTCCCTCAAGTGGTGGCTCCCATTTTTACAGCCTTCTCACAAAATCCCAATTCTCCATAGATGTCAGATTGATGACCATACTTAGTAGCCCGGGGAATCTAGTGAAAGCAACAGCAAAGACCAAAATAAGCTTTCTGGAGCTGCACACAATACCTTCAACAAATTCCATATCAGGCAATGGGGAGTCAGCAGTTTAATTCAGCTAATGAAGGAAGCAACTGCCCTCTATCCTGGTTGAAGAAAATATACCGTAGCTTATGGCAGAATATGACTAAGGAATCCGTGACATAGCTGCATATTGGCTCAGTTGCAAATCCAGGACCCTGGTGAAGGAAGTCTTGATCTCAGGGCATTCAAGCAATTTTTTTTTAATGTTTGGTTGATCACCAATGCATCTTTGGTCAACTTCAACCAATTACAGGCTGGAAAACTTCATTTCATGTTTTCCAACCAGAGAGAAAAAGCCACAAATATTTTTACCAAAGATCTACCACAGACTTTCTGCAACTTCTTGCAATAATGCTCTCATTATTGCAATTATGTGTGTGGAGAATGACAGGACCAGCTTCTGATTCAAATAGCAAAGAGTCAGAGCTTGCTCTTGGGGGAAAGCTAAGCCCCCAACTTAAAAGGATCATGGGTCTATGGAGATTCTCAGTCATCCAGGTCATGGTTGTCTCAAGGTGCTTTTTCAATAGGCAACTGGATTTTATGGGAATTTTTTGAAGACATTTCGCTTCTCATCCAAGAAACTTCCTTAGTTCTGGCTGGATGTTGGGGAATGGAAGGATTTATACTCCTTGCAGACAGAGGGTCATTTGCATTCTTTCATAGAGTCATTGAGGTCACCTGGAGGTTTATCTGTGTCTTCAGGGTCACCAAAGTAATGCAAATTCATAAATGCATAGCACAACATAGGAGAAAAAACCCATCAGACAAGATTCAGCAGTTCATCTGCATTGAGAGACAAAGGCCATTCTTTTGAAGACCGTAAAGTCTACATTTTGGACATAGGGGACCTCTGGTTTGAAGGAGGAGTCAAAGAGGCCACCTATGTCAAAACTGAGCAGCCCTCTCTCAACAGAGGATGCAACATCAGTCTCCAGTCTACAACAGTTCATATACTCCAACAGTTCCAAGAAGGCTCCATACCCATTTGCACCACTCAGGTGACCCTGATTACACAGATAAACCCCCAGGTGGCTTCAACGACTCTCTAAAAGAATGCAAGAAGGAGGACATTAATTCTCCTGGCCCCATGCCCCACATGGATCTTTGGCTGGAATGGATATTGTGGATATCTTCCATTCTAGATTATCATAGTTCAGCAGACCTCCTCTTGTCCATAATTAAAACCTAGCTGCAAGAGACAGGGAAGAGATTCTCTATGGATTGTTTTTCACCTAATTTATAGCTCAGTCAGTTTTAGTGTTATATGTTCATTTGTTTGCAACCAAGCGTATTGGAAATGTGCTAATTGCCTCTTGCTTTTTTGCTACTCTAGGACTCTTGGTCTGCAAAGCTTTATTGATCACGGTCTCCAGGTGGTTCAAGGTCAAATTAATACATGAGACACAGAATAAGCCTGTCCCCATGGAAATTTTGGGCTATTCCACCAAAGACATACCTACCTTGGCAATCTTTGACACTACTGCCTTTTAGGATTACACCTATAAGACTTCCAGAGAAACTTCTACTTATTTCTTTATTAAAATCAGTGTTTACATTTCAGCCAAAGTTTCCTTTGGTGGAAGTTGTAGCTGTAAATGGCGCCTACCAAGGACTAGGGACCCTTTGAATATAATACCTTGCCTTCGGATATGTCCATTATAAGACATCTTGACTTTGCTATATAAAAATAGTATATTAATCATACCATGAAGGTTAGGGTTTTTTTTAATAGCAGGGACAGGGCATCCACCTTATCAGGCATGAGCAAAGTAGAAGGAAGGTGTGCAGGGAGCATCAGTATCTGTAACCAATTGTACAAGTATCACACTTTACCTTTCTCAAGTGTATTTCCTTTTATGTCTCCTTTTTGGGTTATGGTGAAAATGAGAAATTTGCTACCACCTTCCCACAGCAACGTTAGAAATTTTTTAACATTCCAGTCATGCCTCTGAAGCAAATGGAAGGAAGATACCCCCAATAGGATGGTTTATGTTCCAGAAAATGGGATTGAATTGAACGGAGATCAGACTTTTCCAAGTAAATATAGTGACTCTGAGACAGTATTCCATAGAACAAACCTTATTTCTTACTAATATGATTAAACTGCTATAAATAAACTTCTGTTAGAAGATACTTCTTATGTACATTGGTCACCTTTAGGCCCTTGATTCATTTCTCTTCGCTGTCCACCTCTTGGTAGGCAAAGAAGCCATGTTGCAGCAGAAGGATTATGAAACAGCCACCCTCTCAGAGATCAAGGCTCTGCTAAAGAAACACGAGGCCTTTGAAAGTGATCTGGCTGCTCACCAGGACCGTGTAGAACAGATCGCTGCTATTGCACAAGAACTCAAGTATGGCTTTCACAAGCACGCGGTTTACTTTTTGATGGTTGATGGGCTTCAAATTCAGTTCTGCTCCTTCTTTAAATCAGAAGTTTAGAGAAGCAGGGACTTGAGTGCCAAAAAAAAAAAAAGAACTGTTGGGATCAGAAAGGGAAGTATGCACTATGGCAGGGCTGTCAAACTCAAGACTCAGGGGCTGGATACAGCCCACCGGGTACTTAGATCTGGCCCATGGAGCCACCTTGGAAACAGCAAAGAACCAGCCCGCGGTGCTTCTTCCAGTGAAAATGGAGCTCGGGTTGGCTGCGTGTAGCCCTCCTGAGCTCTGTTTTCACTGGTGGAGAGTTGCAGGAGGCTGTTGGAGCAGAAAACAGGAGTCTGTTTTTGCTGGCAGAGTGCCACCACAGGTACCCCCGACACGACTGACATTGTGCTGGCCATGCCCCCAGCCCCCCCCCCAAGGTCAAACACAACCCTAATGCAACCCTCAATGAAATTGAGTTTGACACCCCTGCACTATGACATGTAACAAACCATGAAAGAGACATGGCTGGTATGCATAGATTACATATTTCATCAATTTTGAGACTTAATTTTGTCTGCAAGCTCAAATAAGGACATCCAAGCCCATAAATCAGCCCTCCTCAATCTAGTACTGTCTTTCCCAGCATTCCCAACCACAGTGGAAATAATAGTAATTATCTCTTGGGCATCAGGTTAACAAATACAACTATTACAATGACATTAAAAGTTTGCTTTCACCTGAGCTACATTTATCTTTCAAGTTTCAAGTTAGGTAGTTTCAAGTCTATCTAACATCCTAGGGATTTCCTCCTTTTCATGTTTTAGGCAGGTATGGCTCATCTTAGCCTTATGAGCTCAGCTAAGGCAGCAGAGCTATCCTTTTGTTGGGCAAATGATAATTTAAGTTCAGATACAATAAAATTAAAACTTACTTGGGTGCAGACAAGGCTGGTGACTACATACACTATATTACCAAAAGTATTCGCTTACCTGCCTTTACTCGCATATGAACTTACTGTAAGTGACATCCCATTCCTAATCCATAGGGTTCAATATGACGTCGGTCTACCCTTTACAGCTATAACAGCTTCAACTCTTCTGGGAAGGCTGTCCATAAGGTTCAGGAGTGTGTTTATGGGAATTTTTGACCATTCTTCCAGAAGCGCATTTGTGAGGTCACACACTGATTTTGGACGAGTTTACATGGCCTACCACTTCGTGGCTGAGTTGCTGTCATTCCCAAACACTTCCACGTTCTTATAATACAGCTGACAGTTGACTGTGGAATATTTAGGAGCGAGGAAATTTCACGACTGGATTTGTTACACAGGTGGCATCCTATCATAGTTCCATGCTGGAATTCATTGAGCTCCTGAGAGCAACCCATTCTTTCACAAATGTTTGTAAAAACAGTCTGCATGCCTAGGTACTTGATTTTATGCACCTGTGGCCATGGAAGTGATTGGAACACCTGATTCTGATTATTTGGATAGGTGAGTGAATACTTTTGGCAATATAGTGTAGCTCTCACCTCTTATAATACTTGTATTTTCATACCTCTGTTGACTAAGAAATTCAAAGCAGATAGAAAAAAATATTTCATTCACCATGCCACTAATGTGATTTAATGCTACAAAATTATGGAGGATAAAAACTATGAAAATACGTCAGATGAATTCTTGATGTGCAAAAGTATTCTGGGCAAAGGTGATCAGAATGGATAGCAGGCTTAGACGGACTTTGTTTTCTCCAGCACAACTATTTTATGACCTTTGTGTGTCATCAATTATTTACATTGTTTCATAAAAGATTTTATATTAATCTTCTACCAGTGGGTTGGATAAAGGTTTTTTTTCTTTTCTTTCTTTTTAAAAATTCTTGTTTTTGTTAGTGAGCTAGATTATTATGATTCACCGAGTGTCAATGCCAGATGCCAGAAAATATGTGACCAGTGGGATAACCTTGGAGCTCTAACCCAAAAACGTCGAGAAGCATTGGAGGTAAAAGATGTTTGTGCATTCTAAGCCTGCAATGTATTTTTACTAGTTTTTCTGACTGTTCCTCTCTTGAACTTTGGGAGCAGGAAAGTAAAAATTGACTTAGTGTTCAATTATCTATGGTAGTTGCTAGGGTAAACTATCCAAGATTGGCTACTTGGGCTCCTCTGATATTGCTGAGCTGTGAGTATCATTTTCAGCAGCCCTAGCAAACTTAACCAATGATAAAGATAGAAAAAATGGTATTGCAGTAACTTTGGAGAATCTCAAGTTTCTTTTAAAAGACACTTCAGAAATCAAGATTTCCCATGTAAGGTTGGACAATGTTTAATCGGATCCATAATAAGCCCTTGTTCTGCATCTTGCATTTCAGTTCTGGATCCAGTCAATTCTTGTTTTAACTTTAATGTTCCAAAAACTACCTGAAGGATTCTCATTTTACATACGTACATACATACATACTTACGTACATACATACATACCATATTTTTCGGACACACTTTTTTCCCTCAAAAAAGAGGCTGAAAATCTGGGTGCATCTTATACACTGAATACAGCATTTTTTGCCTCCCAAAACCGCACCCCTTCACCAAAATGACCGTGCATAGCCTTATGGAGACTTTCAGAGAACTAGGGCTGGGGAAGGCAGAAATGAGCAAAAAACGGTCCCCCCCAGCTCCCAGGAGCACTCTATAAGCTTCCTTATGATAAAAAACGGGCCTGTTTTTTGCTCGTTTTTGCCCTTCCCCCCAGGAGCATTCTACAAGCCTTCTAAAGGCTATCTACGCCCTTTTTGGGAAAAAAACCAGGCCTGTTTTTGCAAAAAATGGGCCGTTTTGGGGGGGGTTGCAGAGTGCAAAAACTTTTTTTTTTATTTGCCTCTTCAAAACCTTGGCGCGTCTTATTCTCCAATGCATCTTATGCTCCGAAAAATACGGTAATACATACATACATACATACAATCTATTTATGACACTGTACATTTTATGTAGATGATAGATAGATAGATGATAGATAGATAGATAGATAGATAGATAGATAGATAGATAGATAGATAGATAGATAGATAGATAGATGGATGCACAGTGCCACAAATAGATTATATGTATGTATGTGAAATGTAGAGGTCCTTCAGGTAGTTTTTGGAACATTAAAGTCAAAACAAGAAATACATATACGCTCACACTCACACTCACACTCACACTCATTCATTCAAACAATTTATGACACTGTAAGTTTCCCTGCTAGACTTAATTTTGTCTGCAAGCTGAAATAAGGATATTTAAGTCCATAAATCAGCCCTACTCAATCTAGTACTTTCACTCCTAGCATTCTCAAGCAATGTGGAAACAATAATAATTATGCGGAGGGCATCAGGTTAACAAAGACAGATATCAAGAGGAGATTAAAAATTTGCTTTGACCTGAGCTCAAATTAAATGGACATCTAATTCCGATTTATTTGATTTTATTTTTTTCAGATTTATATTATATTTATAATCTCAATTTAGGAGAGTCAGTAAAGCAAATGCCTTTTCTATTTTCCATGATCTTTTAAAATTAGTAAGCTCTCCAGAGCCCTTTATTTGGCACTTAACTATTTCATTATTTATTGGTTGTATTTCATGGAGACTTTTATCATTATTTTGTAAACCCTCTTTTTGTTCGGCTTGATGGTAATATCTGTTAAATGGTGATAGAGAACTGGAGAAGGAAGTAATGAAGAATGTATACATTGCTGAGACCAGATTCTAAAGCTTATCAGACATTTGATACTATTTATACAATTAATTATTTATACACATACTTACACAAAACCTATGAATCTATGAAGTACGTTGCTATATACTGTATTCCCCCATGTTCTGTGCCATTTTTATACTCAGAGTACTATTCTAGATCATTGCTTATTCTTTATATAAATTAAAATGTAATGTATCTATATGTCTGGTTTCTGGTCTGAATAAGAGAGGAATATAATTTTGAAAATATCCTTTTTTAGCATACAAGGTAAAAAGATAAGCAAGAAAAATACCCCAATGATATAGTTAATAGGGCTGCGTAAAAGGTTCCATCCTTACCAGAATTGTTCAAAATTGGGACATTTCTGAGATGGTTAGAGGGGTGTTAAACCTGTTCTTCTGACTTGGTAAGGTCAGAACATTTTTCATCTTACTATATAAATCATTCAATGTTCAGAATAATATAATACCTACATTTTTGTCTATCATGCATTATTTTTCTCTGGACTCATTACAGAGAACAGAAAAACTGCTGGAAACGATTGATCAGCTGTATCTAGAGTATGCCAAACGAGCTGCACCTTTTAATAATTGGATGGAGGGCGCTATGGAGGACCTTCAGGATACATTTATTGTCCACACAATTGAAGAGATTCAGGTATGTATGTTTGAAATACTGCCTTTTCGATCTTTGATTATAGTAGGTTCATGACACTAGCTCACGGGTGTCAAACTCGTGACATCACGTTGCCATCAAGTGACGTTTCACAATGTTTTCCCCTTCGCGGAGCTGGGGTGGGTGTGGCCTACATGTGATGCATCCAGCCACAAGGATCGCCAGTTTGACACCGCTGCACTAGCTGATTCAGATGTTGTCTGCCCAACAACAAATAGCTTCTCTTCTCCCACAGACACAGGCAGGTGACAGCCGCTATCCCTAAATGGATGAAAAATATTGGTGCATGCCAGTCCATACCACATATACAGCTGGGAGCAAATGCAGAACATGCGTTTCCCAGTCCCTTGCCCCAGATCTATTTTCTGATATTTGTAGGAGTGGACAATCAGTCTAAATCAGTTTTCCTGATTTTGTCCTATCTGCCACTAAAGTAAGATGTCATGATTCAGTAAAGCTAGGGAGACAGCTACAGGGGATATTTTTCTTTTCCATGGATCATAGTTAAGAGAATCGTGGCAGAGGAGCGGCTATTAAGATCAAATCATAATACATAGTACATGCCAAATATGTCTTCCTTTTAATGCATACAAGCAAATTCTTAACCCAGATCTAATGCTCAAAGGAGAACTATTCCATTTGAAAACATTAGTCTGGATATCTAAAACTCTCAATAGTTGGTAAGCCATGGGATATGATTATTTTGGATGTCCCTGGACTTCATAGAATCAATATGCAAGTTTGTTTATAGTGTCTCAAGGATTTTCCTTGAATGAACGTGTGGCCTTAATCACAAATGGGTATGGATGTTTTTATGTTTAAAAAGAAAAAAAATCCTATTTCTGCTTCAGAAAGAATTAAATCTTATAGTATAAATGATATAAAATTTAGCCTATTAAATGACATGAATATTTAGCCTCAAGGTTATTAAAAAGAATATATGTATTTAGCAAACTTGTCTTATAATGTTTCTGGCATACTCTTGATACACCCACACTGTAGAAAATTGTTAATTGAACCAAGTTTAAATTTTTCTCTTTCCAAATTGTTTTTAAAAATTCTAATCTCGGGGTGGGGTGGGGAGTATTTTCTTATCATGCAGTGATGCCATGTAGTTCCCTGTTGAACTGTTATAGATAGATTTAGATTTTTCTGTGTGGTGTTAGGGTTTATAATGTTATATTTTAAGAAGTGTTTCATTTCCCATGACTATGTTATTTTGCTTTGTCAGGGACTGACCACAGCCCATGAACAGTTTAAAGCTACCTTGCCAGATGCTGACAAAGAGCGACAAGCTATCCTAGGAATCCACAATGAAGTGTCAAAAATTGTCCAGACCTACCATGTCAACATGGCAGGAACCAATCCTTACACCACTATCAGCCCACAGGAAATCAATGGCAAATGGGACCATGTGAGTTGCTTTCAAGGTTGAGCTGCTTGTCCCGCTGGGTATTCTTGCACTTTTTTAGTGGTTCATCCCAAGCATTGAGGAGAAACTTTCTAATAGTGAGGACAATTAACCAGTGGAACGCCTGAAGCTTGCCTTCAGACGTTGTGGGTGCTTCATCATTGAAGGTTTTTAAGAAGAGTGACTTGTCTGAAATGATATAGGGTCTCCTGCTTGAGGAGGGGGCTGGGCTACAAGACCTCCAAGGTCCCTTCCAGCTCTGTTCTGATTCTGAATTCTTTTGAGGAGTAAATCTTCCTGAGCTCAGTGGGACTTCATTCTGCATATTAGATCTGTAACTTCAGTGTAACTTCTCTCAGGTGCCCAATATTTTGCTCAACTTTTCTGATCTCTTGTTCTATAGGAAAGGAATCATTGGTGTTGATTGCAAAAGCTAATTCTGGATTATATATCTCATTCTTGACCTCTCAAAGGATAGATATTTACTGAGAGGCATGATGGCTTGAACCAGCCTTTCTCTATCTGAGGCCGTACAGGTATTAATAATGCGCTTACCAGAATTCTTAGCTAGTATGGCCAGCAGCTGGGAGATTTCAGTAGAAGTGATCTGAATATTTTTGGTCGGAACTATATTGTGGAAAGGTCGTTGTAGCTGTTAGCACTATTGCAGATTAAAAATGATTTATTTGGCATTTATATAGAAACTTTGGTATTTGTACTGGCTGATCTCCTGATGTGTTTAGTGTTGCGCCTCATCTGTGGAGATTGTATTATTTGTGGGTACGAGTTCATTAAACTCTTACCCACAAATAATAAACTGAATAAAACCAGTAATAATGGTTTTATTTTCTGTCAATGTAGCAAATATTGCTTGACTAATTTCAGGGATCATTTTTATTTCTTCACGTTTAACAATACTGTGCAAAAGATTCTGAGCTTTTGTGTTTTTACTAAAGGTGAGACAACTTGTTCCCAGAAGAGATCAGGCCCTGATGGAAGAACATGCACGGCAGCAGCATAACGAGAGACTCCGCAAACAATTTGGGGCTCAGGCCAATGTCATTGGGCCCTGGATCCAAACCAAGATGGAGGTAAAACTCAATGTTTAATCGGATACTTTCTGCCAAAGAACTTACTGTTTCGAAACATATTCAAGCCAAAAACAGAAAGAAAGATCTCCTAGGCTGCTTCCACACTTGATTTGAGGACATTTTGGGCCCTGCACATCAGCTGCACTCTTTAGGGATTAATGCCCTTCTCCACGTGGCACCATTTGTCTGGGGGAGGTTTTCAGCTGCTGAACTGCTGCTACTCCACAGAAAATGCTGAAAGTTGGAATTGGAATTGTAGGCAGGCTTCCAGTTAAGATGGTGACATAAGAAACTGAGCCTTACGATAGCTCTTCTAGAAAAAATAACTTAAACATTAAGGCTATTTGAAAGGCTATTTTACAAACTGACCTAATCCTGACTTCAAAAGATAACATCATCATTGCAATAAATTTTAAGGTAGTTTTGGAAAATACCATATTGTAGCAATTCTTCTGATGCTGATGGTTTCTCATGGATGGCAACTGTTGCCTCCTCCTCTTCCTTGCTTCTCTAGTCTTCTTATGAAGACAGGGGTCACCCAGGACCCACCCTGTCATCCCCTGTCCTCTTGCGAATGAAAGTGATCTTTGCCTACATCGCAAAATGTGATGAGGCAACAAAGAATAGGAATGGAACAATGGTTGCAGGACTGTGCACTTCTCAGACATCCTATACTTTGATGCTTAACTTCATATTTGCTTGCTGACAGTAAAAGCTCACAGAGATGACCCAGCTAGATTAGCTGCTATATTGCAAGCACCAAAAAGTCATGTACACATAAAAAAGTTTCTGAATATATGGTTTATATATACACTCTAGGTTATGGGTCCCCAACTCCCAGGCTGTAGCCCACTACTGGGGTGTAGCCTATTTGGAACTGGGCCATATGCCTGATGCGCATATGCACAGCTCAATTTGTGCAAGTTGAGCTGTGTGTGCATGTGTGCCAGCCCACTGCTTGCACAAATTGAGCTGTGGACATGTGCGCCTGCACTGGCCCACCACTCTCATGGCCTGGTTCCCCTCTCCCGCACTCCAACCAGGCCACCAAGTTGCAAAGGTTGGGGACCAGTCTTCTAGGTCTTTTCCTCACAGTCTTTTGAATGAACAGAAATTCTGCTTTTCTCTTCTGAGCCTTGACATCAACCAATTATATTTTCAGCTTCACCAGCTTCCAGCCTTATAAACTATCCTTGGAGAGTTTGGAGGGCCAAAATGCTGGCTCTGCCATTTACTTATTTTTAACCCAGGGTCTCTATTGTCATGAAATGTTTAAGGATGCGCTATAGGAGGGACACTTAATAACTATGAAATTATGAGATAGGCATGCTGTTTTTGCATTTTGTATAGAAATGGAGCTTACTGACTCTGCACTTGATTAGATACAGTGTGCAATTTAATACATCTTTCAGCTTATCACAGAAGAACTCTGCCCCAGCAGTGTAAGCAATTTTAGTATAGAAATTCTCCTGATGAGTTGCTATCTACGGCTTTTTCTTCCTCTGAAGTGAAAAAGTGCATTGTTATATAGAGGTATTTAATGCCAGTGCCAAAAGTTCTCACATTATTTATGAATTAAAAGTGTGTATATTCCTCTATGGACATATATAGATAGATTAAAATATCTCATTAAAACCAGTAGGTTGCCAAAGAGCTCAGTTTGTCATGTAAGAATTTCACAAAGTTTATGTGAAGAAAAGTAAGGCTATATAAGAGAGGCTTTGGAGAAAGGTGACATTTGGTACAGATTTGAGTTTTCTAACATACAAAATGTGGCAATGGCTGAAATGGGTTTGATAACCCTGTGATCAATAGCAGGGATATGCAACTATCTTGTGACTGAGAGCCCTATTTTTTTAAAAAACAAATTTATCAGGGTTCCAGTGTGGTTACAGTATGGGATTTAATGTCACTGGAATGGATGGATCCAAAAAAAATTATGTCTATGTATGTGTGTATAGTTAAAAGGGCTCAATTTGACCAAGGACTCTGGAGAAATGAACATGAAATGCATATTGGAGCCACATTGAGCTTTTGTATTTTAAGTGTATTTTTTCAGATTTGTTCCTTTTTAATTCGCTTTGGATTAACTTTATAATAGCTCATAATTGGATGCCTCTCTCCATTGGCTGCAAGCCATACTATGTGCATTCTTTGCCTTTTATTGCATTTTGCAATAATTGTATTGTGCCTAATGCGTTTTATCCTGAAAAGAAGCTACGCCCAATTATAGATTAAAGATTTAAAACAGATTTCCTCCATATGCTGCCCTCCAAATGCATTGAACTTCATTTTCTCATCTTGCAGCCAAAGATCTATTGCTTGGAGAGGATGGGAAATCCAGCTCAATATACTTCCATCCAGTTAAACAGCAGTTTCAGTGATTAATGTCCAAGATAGGAATTGCACTATGTTTTTCTGTAGTGAAATAAGTATGAAGATGTCCTTCAGTGGTAGGGGAAAGCCCCATGATAGATATTCTCCATCCGCACCCGAAAAGGCATCCTTACATAAGATCCAGTGTTCTGTTTACCTTTCCTCTAAAAAAGCTTGCAAGTCAAGTTGAATTCTTCTGAGACTGCAAGGCCTGTGGTTAAAGCATTTTAGTTTCATTTAGGGAACAGTCGGAGCAAATGCCTTTCATGTTGGAACTTGTTCCTTACCTCTCTGTTTCCTTTGGCTCCTATAGGAGATTGGCCGCATCTCCATAGAGATGCACGGGACCCTGGAGGACCAGCTTAATCACCTGCGGCAGTATGAGAAGAGCATTGTGAACTATAAACCAAAGATTGATCAGCTGGAGGGAGATCACCAGCAGATTCAGGAGGCTCTAATCTTCGATAATAAGCACACCAACTACACTATGGAGGTAAAGACTCGGAGTATTGTATAACCTTGCAAGGAAAGGATCTTTGAAGAGAATGAATGCTAATACCCTGTTTTCCAAAAATAAGCCCTCCCCGGATAATAAGCCCAATCGGGCTTTTGAACACATGCCCTAAAATAAGTCCTCCCTTAAAATATTGCAACACAGCAGCAGCCATGGTGACCACGCTCACCACCTCCTGCACCTCAAAAATAAGACCTCCCCGAAAATAAGGCCAAGTGCTTATTTCGGGAGTCAAAAGAAAATAAAGACCCTGTCTTATTTTCAGGGGAAACACGGCACTACACAGTTCTGCTGTGTGTAAAAGGATTCCTTGCCAAAGGATGGCAGACCAATATTATTGGCTGACACCGACGTTGTGTATAAATATAAACACATGCAACGCAATATTTGCTGTACTGTAAGCAAAGACGTGGTAAGGAGATCTCGAAAGTCCAGAATTTCTACTTGGATCTGCTTTGTTTAAGATAAACTGAGGAATGTGGTGAGCTTGGCAGCTGCTTTTCTCATATAATGAAGGTCACAGCAGTTAGAGATTATCCTAGAGTAAGAGTCAGGGTGCACTTTTTTCAGAGCATAGTGTGTTGGTTGAAACAAATGGCTGCCATGGAAGGTTTATCCATTCACAAAACAGCAATCATAGTAAGTGTGGCTAATTACAATGCAACCATTTGTTCCTTCATCTTTTACCAAATGAATTGTAACCCTGCAGAATGCTCATGCAATCTCCAATTTATCATAAGATTTTGGAGGGGGGGGGGGGGGGGGG